GAAGCTTGGCGATTTTTTGCGAGCAACGCGACCAACAACCAATCACATGAATCTCCCGCCCCCGACATACAAAGCAATAGCAATGTTACAACGAAGTAAACTGGATATAAACTCTCCAAACAGGCGAAAAACCTACCAGTTTCACCCACTGTCTCTGCCACCTCCCTCCATGCCTGGTTCCTCCGGTTTGTATCCCGGTAAATAGTTCTGGTCGTAAAGAACCGGGTGATTTGCTACCGTAATATCTCGTTTGGAATATGAGGAAATTAACTGCGGTCTGGCTCTCCCAGCTTGCACGCGGTTTGATTGGCTGCGCTTGGACTAGCGGGATTTGCATAAACGGGATTTGATTGGCTGATGCCGATAGATGCTGATGCTTGCAAAGCCATGCCATGCTCCCCAAAATGCAGTTAGGCGAAGATTAAAAATCTTCTACGTCACCCCATTCAAGTGAATGGGCGAAGCGTTGAAAGCATTTTTCGATGCCTGTAGTGTAGACGGGCCGTTAGTGGAGGAAAACAGTTATGACATCACTTACGCGACTCTGGGACTTGTAGTCTTTCTAGGTGCATATTTTTCATAGTCTTATATCTCAACAGTTTTACGACAAACTGCGACTTTTTTGACATGGAAATGATTTTTTAAGATTGACAAACATCATATGTGTAATCCATGGCACAATTCAAATGGGATCGAAAGATACGTTTTCTCTCTTCATTGACTTCAATGCATAATTTTTCCGAAATAAGGTCCCATGGATCGGAAGTAGATGGGCGTGACTTCGCCACTCTATAGGAATGTGTTACTATAATTGAACATTTATACATTATGATTTCATCAGTTGTTAAGTAGATTTGGAACATACTTCTGCACTTGAACCTCCAAAAACAATTGATCAATGGTGACTAGATTTGTAATGATGTTTACTTGTTGGCACAGCATAATTTGTCCCGTGTTGGTAATGACTACAATTTTCTGAACATGACTAACAACAAACAAGGCCTGTTATTATTAGAGATCCACTCTGCACTGTGCATGTTGGGTTGAAGACTCGACCACAAAGTCTGAGGAACTTTAACTGGATACAATTATAATAGTGTGATTTAATGGGAGCAAAAAGGTCTGTGTCATTACCAAATGTGAAAAAACATTAACTGAGCCAGATTCCTCACACGCTTTTCTGACAGATCTAATGAGCCCGTTGGCTGTGAGATCTTCCTGGAAGGACAACAGTCAGGGCAGCACTCCACAAATCTAGGCTTTAGTGGCCGGGAGGAAATGACTCCTGAAAAAGGCACATGACATTTACATAAAGGCACTTCAAAGACCGCTGACAGTTTAAGGAGAAGATTGTGTTCATGAAAATTAACATGGAATTCTTCAGCTGTAATTCAAAGCACTATAGAAAGTATGGCAGAAATGAGGCACAGTTGATTACCCATGTAACACCATTACTAGTATAAAGCATGGCAGTGGCTTTTCATAGTCAAAGATGAAGGGAACCTTTAATAGAACCCAATACACGTGTACCATTAGAAAGTAAGAGAGTCTCAATTGAAAAGTTGGGGAAAAGTATGTAATTGACATGCATGGTAATAACCATGTGTGCAACACTTATTGAATCACTTTGAATAATCATTCAGTTTTGAGTCCCAGTCTGCATAGATTTGTTCAGGCCTGTGCCAGAGCTACATCTACAAAATCAAAAGCCAGTTTGTTGTCAGACCCAATCAGCACCTCATTCATCTTCCTCGGTCACACGCAAATCACAAGCGTCTAAAGCAAATGGGAAACCTGTGTCTTCCTTGATTTACTACACAATTCCACTCTGTGTCCAAGTTTAGTTGTATCTCCAAATGGTAGATTGCCACATTACAGTACAAGTGTGATAATACTAAAATAAGGGGATTGGCAGTGGAATAGTTGCTGTTTTCAGTCCTGGAGTTTGTGAGAGCTGCCAGGACTCAAAGAAACCGAGAGCGGCAAACAGCTGTAGAATGGCTGTTGATTCTCAATGAGATTGGCAGGTCTAGTAAACATTTCACAATACAGAGAGTGATTTGATTAAATCTGTGTATTGTGTAATTAGCTTAGATGGCCCTGTGGGCCATCTAAGCTAATTTACAGATGGCCCTGAGCCCAATAGAGATTGCCCTGAAAAATGTGCGCGGACGAAATGACGCACGAAGGGTTTGGGGGGCCTCCCCCTAGAACATTTAGATTTTTGCAGGTCTTAGATGCTGTCTGGTGCATTCTCTAGACTGAATTATAAGATGAACCACCACAATATTACAATTTCAATTGTATTCTTCATTTTACTTGTTTGTGTTTGCTCGCTTGCATGCCCTGCATAGCTATAATAAATACTTAAGTTGTTGGTCAAGACACTTTCCATCTGTTGAAGGCAAATGCCTTCCCAGTAGAGATGTTAAGATTCACCGATTCGCATCGGTGCACCGGCATAAACGTTCAAGATGCGAGTGCACCGGTTGAAAGAGTGCACATCGGCTACAGTTTGGGTTGAACCGGGTTGAACTCGCGATGCATCGATTGCGTAGCGTCTTTGCATCGGTAAAAAAACGATTCATTCATATAAAATCCCCTCATCTTGTCAACGCTCAGCAGAGACGATCTTTGATATTTGCTTCGCCACTACGGAGAACGAGAGTCTCAGTTATCAACACACACGGAAGTTGAGGAGAAAGAGAAACACAGCGCACCGAAAAATACCTACAAATCAAACGTTTGGCAACACTTCGGATTGTTCAAGAAAGACGGTGTAATAGTCATTTATGCTATATAGTTGACCGCAGGTCATGGAGAGTAATAAGGTATCCGTAGACCTTTGTATGAGGTATCTTTATTACTTAACAGGTCTACAGCCATGATACATAGATCCGTCCTAGATGCGGACTTGCATACACACAGTATCACTCCGCAGCCGCACCCCATCAGTAACGTCCTGATGGTATATGTGCGCGGCACTATTACTACAGACGGTCAACTTGAAAAATCACTCGCAAATTGTTAACGATGCCGAGCCGCTTTAAAGTACACAAGTAGTACGAGGAACTTAGCGACGCATATGTGCGTCGCTAAGTTCCTCGTACTACTTGTGTACTTTAAAGCGGCTCGGCATCGTTAACAATTTGCGAGTGATTTTTCAAGTTGACCGTCTGTAGTAATAGNGTCGTCGTCGTAGAGTGAGAGTAAGTAAGTAGTGTGTGTGTGTGTGTGTGTGTGTGTGTGTGTGTGTGTGTGTGTGTGTGTGTGTGTGTGTGTGTGTGTGTGTGTGTGTGATGGGGGGGAGTTACTAGGCACATCCCACAACAAAAGCTATAACATCTTTATTTTAAATATGTTCATACTTGGCATGAGAATAGACAGTGGAGAAGTTAATTTAGCTTCAAGAGTGGAACATTGTATTTATACTGTTTCGAGATAATTTGACCTTGTATTAAGTGCTGACGGTAAGTGAACATTATGCTTATCTGATTTTAGAAAATAGGCTATGTAAAATCATTTAATTGAACAAAAACTGATGTTATATTTTATTTATTTTATGGGTCTTAGCCTGGTACAGCAAGTATTTCTATAAATATAAATAATGGTCATATGTAGCCGCAGTTTGTAATAAAAACACACTAAGGATACAGTACAGTATGTAGCAGCTGATTCATCACGGACTGTAAGGGAGAACAACGCAGCCACCACTGGTTTTAGCTAATGTTGGTCATCAGGGGAAATCAAACCAAGATATAGCAACAGGCAATACAAAGAAAAGGATCCCCATGGCTCTGTTTTTCAGACTTTGAGAAAGGATCTGGAAAAAATCCAGGCAATGAAACTCCAATTTTTTGGAAAGCAAATTGTGATCATTACGATTATCACCCGGTGTACGGTTTTAGGCCATGACTTCTTAAACCAGCACAAAAGTTAAATCTACATTTGAGGTGACTCAAAAAAAAGAAAAAAATGTCTTTGTTAAAATAATAACATTTTTGAAAACCTCATACAGTTCAGGGAGGAGATACAAATGTTGCATGCTTCGCTATGACAGGTTTTTCTTTTCATCTTGTTACCTGAACCCTTTGATCTATGATGTAAATGTTTTGTTCGTTTTTTATACGAGTACAGTACTTCACTGTGCAGGTTGTCTACAATCAGTACCCTATTGAACAAAATGGTGCAGTTACTTTGGAAATGTGGACTGGAAAAACCTCCCCACTATTATGAGTCTGTGGCGGTATGTTCACTCACCAGCTGGGCATCTGCAGGAGGCTGTTCCATTGGAGCGTGTCAGGCAGGTGGAGTTGTGCAGGCAGGGATTGTGAAGGGGGTCACAGGGGTCATAGGGATGGTTGCACAAGGGGCCGCTGAAGAAGGGGGGACAGGTGCAGGAAAACTCCCCAGGTACATCTGACTCCTGACACTGAGCTCCATTTAGACAGGGCCCAGAATCACACTCATCCACATCCTCTGCACAGTCCACACCTGTCCAGCCCAGAGAGCACAGACACCTTGGATACACCGGAGAGGAGATAGAGTACTGTAGAGGTCATTTTGGCATAAATAAAACTGAATCCTAAATAAATAAACAACTTATATTGTGTTCTTTTAGGGGTTGTGGTTGTCAATGAAAATAGCAGCTGTACTGTAAGGTTATGCACAACTACCACAGTAATTCAAACGGTCCCCTAGATACATTTTCCTGCATGCACAGAAGTACACAGTGGTGCAGTCCATGTATTGGCACAGCACTCCTGGATCTTTTGTGAGACGGTGCAGGGAATTTAAAGGTTAATTGAACTACTGGTCGGAGCAGCTTTTAATTCTGGACAACTGAATGTAGGACACAGGAGGTTAGAGCACTGAGCGGGGATTAAATGGAAATGTGCTAGACAGAGACAGAGATGGGGACAGAGAAGCAGAGATTTCTGAAGTATCTGCTCTCAAGGCAGGTGAATATTCCACTTGGTGGCAGTGAGTACCCGAGCTCTACCAACCACTCCACCTCACATTCCTTTTCACCCTCCAACTTTTCCACCTGAAGCAGTTTTACGTCTCCCCTGCGAGAAGAGGGCATTAGCTGAAGCAGATACACCAGCTTTTTCCTCCAATGAGTCACAGATCCCCTGAAACCCTTTCATGCTGTGAGCCATTGATTGACTCATTTGTTTTACCTGCCATCTGCAATTCATTATCTCCGCTGCCAGTGGAAGGACATATTGCTATCTCTGAACGCCTTCTTTTTCTCTGCATTTCTTAAGTGACTGATGAACCTCGGGAGGACAGCGCCCTCGGGCCGGCTTGCACACCTACTTGTAGTTGTTAAGGAGGTCTGTGCAGGTGGCGTTATTTTTGCATGGCTGCGATAAACATTCATCAATTTCTCGTTGGCAGAACTCCCCCTCCCAGCCTGAGTGACACACACACTCGTAACTCTGCAACACACAAAAAAGGAAACAGCATTATATTGAAATATAGTGACACCTTACATAGGCACTTGCCTTGGTGTCATAAAGTAAGCCGTTAAAAGTCTATTACTGTCATTATAATAGCAAAGCACACTATTAAAATATAACTGTATTGTATATACATATGGAAGCTGGTAATTAAGTTGCTGTGGATCAGTCGCAGGGCAATCTGAGACCTCTTAGGAAACACTTTAATATTTTTGTAAACAAACAGTGCTTTGCTATAAACTCAATTTGCTCTAAAACATTGCAGAATAAAACCTCCTTCTTACAAAGAAAATCTTTCCTGTGGAATGATGTCTGAACTGTGAGTGTCATTCTTGTCTTGAATTATTGCATTATGCCATGCAGATGTATTTCTTCTACCTCCCACCTTCTAGATAATAGGCAGCCTGTTTTTTCCATTCCATTCAAGGCATTCGGTATAAGACTCCATCAAGCATACAATATTACCTCTGCATATTTTGTAAAGGAAGGATTTTATTATATAAGCAAACATGTAATATATATTGTTTGAATTCCTGGTAAATATATTGTTTCTACTATACATTGAGAAAGAGATTTATAGCTCCTACTTCCATTTTCATTTTCTTCTTCCACTCAAAGCAGTTTTTCGACGACTTGTTTTTTATTTCTTCATTGCAATATGCATCACGATGATTAATTATGATACAGTATATTACATTACATGTTAGACGCTTTTATCTTGCCGCTTACGCTTGTCTTGCCCAGGGACAGAACGACATGCTGACTGCAGTGGGGTTTGAACCTGTGCTCCCCTGATCCCAACACCAACGCACTAGTCACACTAGTCCATTGCGCCACGGCCTCCCATATAAATGGTTTGTGTTACTATTAATTCTAATGCAACTGGTTAAATATAAATTCTGGTCAGGATGAAGGTGGTCATATGCACAACGTTTTTTAGGATTCCTCATTGCCAACATCCTGTGTATGGGGTCTTGGCTGCTGCTGGTTGAATGTATGCTAATCTGTATTTCATACACAGGAGGGGAGCCGTTAAACTTTGTTGGATATCATTTTTACACCGTGGGCCCCATGGTGATGGTGGGGGGGGGGAGGGAATGCCGTCATTTCTTGATAAATTAGATACCTCCAGGAGCCTTCCATTCCTTACCCCTGGCAATAGAGCATCGTCTCATTGTTGCTGCTAAGTCACCTTCAGGGAGCGCGATTCTCCAAAATAAGCTAAAGCTCTGTGGGACATGATGTTCAGAGAGGAATATCTGCACTGTAAACAAGACTATGTTATAGGGTTTATAAGAACTGACCTTATTTAAATAATGGGACAACAAAAAAGTTATAATTGGCAAACAGATAAAAGTTTCACTAAAAAAAATATTGGTTCAAATTGAATTATGACTCATATCGCTCCAAATTCCCTTTTTATGCGGTGTCCTTTTGTCTTTGTCTTTGGAGTATTCAGTTTATCTCAGACAATTACACTGTAATGTTTTAACCAGGAATTTCTGCTAGGGGAATTTTGAAACCTTGTCATAGAACTCCTTGTAGAATAGTTCATAACATGAAGAGGGAAAATAAGCATTTGCCCTTCAGTTATCCTCACTACAGTAACCCTTTTTTTATGGGAACACAAGAGAATGCTAGTCTGCTTCTGGTATTGCTGTGAATACTTAATAGAAATACGTTTTTTTATGACATAATTACCCATGCCAGTATACTTTGTTAAGTAAATGATGGAGAGGACACTGAAAAGCAAAAATATGACACTGTGAAATTGAAACCTCAAAGCGTGGTGAAGCAATACATAATACGGCTTTAATTATCTCCATAGAGTCAAAACCCCAAACTTGCTGTTATTCTTAAACACATCCCATCTTTTTTACATATATTATGCACTAATTTTCAAGAGCATAAACTAATTTTAAATCCACACATTTTGGGTGGACTATGCACCTGAAGTTATTTGTCCTTGTCTAAAGGGAAAAAAAGCTAACCCCAAAGACTTCATCTATGACACATCTGCTTCACTACGGCAATCTGTTAGCAAATAAGCAGCTGTTGGAAAAAGGCCCCTGGTACTCGTTGCACAGTTTGTAAACAGCATGCAGTTCCCAAGGCCTTATTGCAGCTGCAACAGATCAATGTTATTGGCTGGAGAAAAACATTTGAAAAACTACAAAAGTAGAGCTGTGCCTTGCATAAACTAAAATGCTAAATGTTCTCTTCAACCCAAGCATGTGCATCTTTAAAAACAAAAATCATATGATAGAACAAATCATGTTCTATCATATGATGTTTTTTACTTGACATTTGACATATGAGTAACTTCCTGTCTATGCCTACATATGCTAAACATAGCCAGGGAGGACGACCCTTGCAACAAGTAATAAAGAATTTTAGAGGCCCTTTGAACATTTTAAATCACTGAATGGCCAAAGAAAAATGATGTTTAATGCATGCTTTTAATATTTGCTTTATGATCTCTAGGAACCTTTTAAATATGCATAATTACTGGGCAAGGATATCCTTTTGCAAATAGACATGCCATACAAAAGATGGTCAATCTAATGCATTTCATGGTAAGAATATATATTATAAACTCTTGTGTTATTTTCTCAAGTTTACTTGGGTAACCTCTAGATCATTTTGGCACTTTAAAAGCTCAGCAACAATGGCTTAATGGCATAATTGGCATGATTTGACTAATAGGAGATAATAATGAGGTACATTTAATAGTCATTATGAGACAGCTCTTGTTTCACCCAGACACCTGACACTTGCTTGCATCGCCTCCTGCTAAACACATTTCGTAAAAAGACCAATAAAGTCTGCCAGATTTGCCTGGAATATATAAACTTGATGGTTGTACAGCTGTAGCAGAGCCTAAAGCCATATTTTAGTGTTTTTAATAATACACCGCTATTCATGTTATTGCAGTTGTTTATATTTTACTGCAGTAGGAATGCTTTCAAACTTTAACTGCATGGCAGTCATCAAAGGTAATAAGCAATGCCTTATGTGGTTCAGGTCTGTCAATATGCAATAATAAATAGCAGGGCTTTGCAATGGGTTACCAACTGTAGTGATTTACAAGACATTGCGCCATTTTAAAGCCTTTTAAATTCAATTTTATCAGGCTATTATAGTGGCAAACAAAAATAAGTGTGTACTTACCAGATGGAGGTCTCTACATATCGAGTCGGAGCTGCACAAACTATTCACGCAGTCATCAATGTCTTGCTCACATCTCAGCCCAGCATAACCAGGATTGCAAAGGCAGTAGAATCCGTCTACAACTGAAACGAGATCAGTAGGACAGTTACAGCACCTTGCATCATAAATCCATTCAATCTACTCTCAGTAGGACATCTCTATACAGGTAAGAGCTGATTGCGTCTACAAAGCACAACCCACCCTGTGATTTCATTCTTTAATGGATACAACCATTGAATAAACACTGTGTGCTGTATCAGTCAAACCTGATAAATCCAAGTGACAGGTTGCCTCCCTCTGCATCAGCCAGTTGGAGTTTGACACACTAACCATCTTTAAATTAACCTCCCAGCAAAAAGCCATTTGGTCTCTGTTTCTGCTTCTCGTTTCCCCTGTCTGTACTTATCCCTCTCTTCCTCAATGAAAGCCTGAAAGCCTTGTCATTTGTTTTCACACTCTCAACACACCGAATGAGCTGAAAAGAAGTGCAATGCCGGCCCATTTAAAGGGCCATTCTTTATTCACATGTTACAAATGCACTAATTTCTTCCATCAGAAGTTAGTATTTCCCACGTCTAATAATCCATTCCTTCCTGTCTTTAATTATTAATGAAGTTAAGGCGGGATGCATCATTCTGTTTCTCCTACACAACACTGGTGTACAGGCAGCCAGTGACAGAGGTAATTGCACTTCTTACAGGAGTGAATTTATTACTTCCCCAGTCAGGGTCCCAGGATTCTTCATTATCCCAAAGATTTACCACCTAATCTATGCTGTCACTCTGTCTTGGTGCGTGTAGCTGCTATTACTCTCATTAAATGCTTTAGGTCCTGGGTGGCAGCAGCATTACTCATCGCAACCACTGTGGCTATGCAGTGCTCTCCCTGGTGGCTGTGACTGGCTGGATGTTGCTGAGCAGCGGCCAATAGGTCCGCAAGGCCTGCTTCACTAACCTAAGGTGAACTGGCTGCACTGAAGATTAGTAAAGACAGCTGGCCGAGGTCTACTGTAGCATAGAGAAGGATAGGATACTCTCATACAGCAATCCACTGCCATCATTGTTTTTTTTCCGGCAGAGGCCAGTTGAAACAAAGCAAGATTTGGTTAAATGCCAAAGCTGCTTGAAGGTAATAATACAGCACAAATGTTATACTACTTAGAGAAACCCACTTTGACTCTGCACAACTAATGCAGAGTAATTTTAGACATCATAAAACAAAATGTATCAAGGACATTTGTGCAGTGTCTATTTTATTTGTGTCCTTCACAATATATGTGAACCTTGTCAACTGAAATACATTACAATCATTGACGAACGCATGATAAATAAGCCTTAATTCAAGAATATTATTTTTGATCAATGAGTTTTTAAACACTTATGCTAGAAATGGAAGACATAGGGGTTACAATTTATCAAGATAGCCACAGGAAGAAAAACAATCTCCTGCCTTTGATTGTATTACTTTTGTCATTTATCATCCATTATTCAAATTACAATGCAGCATTGATGGTTAATAGATTTCCTTCTTCAGATATGTTAAGGAACTAATCAAGCCTACTCCAGCAGGTAATGTCCTAGATCCTCACATCAGATGAAATAACTCCACTCTCATAACACTCTTATTAGCTGCAATGGTGACCTAATTGAAAACGGCCTGTCAGACAGTAAGTGAGCAGAACACAACTTGACAGATTCAATGTGTGTGTGTGTGTGTGTGTGTGTGTGTGTGTGTGTGTGTGTGTGTGTGTGTGTGTGTGTGTGTGTGTGTGTGGAAAGACGTGTGCTTCCATCTTGAGTGCCTGTTATTAAGCATGTTAGAAGGATAGGCCATTTCTTACCATCGTAGCAGAAACCGTGAAAGCAGGGGCTGGAGCTGCACTCATCCACATTGATTTCACAGCGGGGGCCAGTGAATCCACGGCGACAGTGACAGCGGAAACCAAGAGGGAAATGGTCCTGATCCAACTCCTCCACACACACTGCACCATTCTCGCACGGATTACTGGCCTCACAGGGTAAGAACTCGCAATTATAACCTGGAGCGAAGCAAAAAAAAACATGTAGGAGAAACCTTTAGCAGACAAGAATCTGTGAAGAAGTGCAATATAAGTGCAATATAAGTGTACTTAAACCCCTTTTGTACGTTTCCATCCATGACGTGTGGTAGAGTACACGTAGTGTCAAAGCCTACTCTTTAAACAGAAGGTTATACAGGAAGCCTTGGTCCAGAAATTTGTAATTAAAAATATATATGTATTGTAAGTCCTGTCTCTTTCCTGTTTTAAAGCTGAACCAAAGTGATAATCAAATGTACCAAAAATATTTGCAATCACAGACTTCCGTCATAGTTATATAGAGAATCAAGCACTTTAGAACTGTTGTGTCAATTTCAGGCATGGAACACTAGAAATGTAATTGCTTAAGATTTCACAGTACCCAAATAAAAATGAGTTACACATTTGAGCTTGTGACAAAACAATTACAAAACGAATAGTCTCCGTCCTTAGTTCTGGCTGGCAGCGCTGATTTAAATTAACTCATAAAAGCACACCTGTGGCTCTCAGGCGCTCAATTTTATTACTAAAGCACTAACTGAACATTAATATTTGCAATATTAAGATTTCCTGCCACTTTGTTTGAGCAAACTGCTAGAAATGAAAATGCCAGACACCATTATATTCAGATCATGAATAAACACATTGATGAAAAACCCTGTTCTAAAGCACAAATAAGAAATGAAATAGATCATGCTTATACTCACATTGCCTTAACAAAACTTGATGTAACACAGTTGTTATGTCCTATTTCAAAAATGTATTTCTGCAAAAATGATCAGTTAATGACAACCTCACAGTTCTTTGTAAAGTGGTCATAATTTGACCGTAACAATTTGACCACGAAATTCGAATCATTTCATCCTTTCATTAGTTGATTTTTCCACATTTGTAGAAATATTTATTCAAGCAGCCCAGAGAATGAAACTGACAGACCCAGGAGAAAAGTCCCAACCACTACTTTAGTCTGCACAGAAGCATACAAATTCCTGGTGAAATCAGTTTCTTATTTGTAGAGGAATTGCTAAACCCAAATGGGTTCTACACGCCTTAATCAGAAGCATATTCTGTATAAGGCACATCATTGCTTTTGGCTGAGCCAGCAGGTTGTAGTATCCACAGCTGATTAAAGTTCGGTTCTGGCTGTGTCAGCTTGTTACAAAGAAACTTGGTGGTAAATATCAAAATGTGGTACTTATACATTTTAAATACCTCTGGCATTATTGAACAACTGGTCGGTCAAACAGCAACATGCAATGGACAGTATTTTAAATGATAGTTTCCTAGTAAAACTACTTCATGACCAGTCAAAGTGGCAGCACTATTGACACATCATTCAGGGCTCGACATTAAGGACTGCCCGATGGCCCGGGGCCATCTAGTATTTAGCTCGGGCCATGAAGCCTCACCTGCTGGTTGCCCGATCGGGCAATCTATTATACCAGTATCATGCAGCTCGCGGATCCAGTAATGAGTGACCCGACAGTAAAACTAAACATATCTATAACTAGTTTAGGTAGTTTGAGAGGTAATTAAAATAGCTACGTGTGATATTCTAACCTGAAGTGTGTGTTTTGTCCGCTCACCGCTGCATGTGATCATGCAGAGCTGCGTGTCGACTCGTCAGCAGCAGCTGATCTCTCTCTCCCGTCAGATTAGACTTCACTCGCGTTTATGTCCATATCGATCAGATCCAGCTAGTTTTAGCTAATGATATGACTACCTGCTTATTAAAAGACACCGTGACCTAAACAATAAGTGTCGCTATGCAACTGTGTGAGGCCACAAAGTATAGCGCAGTATTATGCATTTGTTTACATGCCCACCGGAACCCCGAGGCATTAGCAACAGATCAACGCACAATCAACCCATACAGCACATCTCTTTCTCCACATTAAGTGTTACACATTAGAATTGACTACTCTTGTCTGTCACATACTCTTCTTGTCTGTCACATAAGTGGCGCAACTGAAGCGGTATTGCGCTAAAGGGAAATTATTTTGACCGGACATTTTGACCGAAGAGATTTAGATTTGCTTGCTAACGGGAACTCTGACGTCGCCATTGTGTGTGCTTCGCGGATGCACTCGGCTGCTCGGGTCTGCTCGGTCAGCTTCTGGATGAGGAGGCATTCCTTCGACCAACTTACAGTAGATAACATTACAAACATTTTTAACAGGGGCCATAATAGCGTAAATAATGTTTGTTTTGGCAGTTATAACTGCATGTAATGTTTTCTACTTTTTTACATCTGGGAAGGCATTTGCCTTCATCAGATGGAAAGTGTCTTGACCAACAACTTAAGTATTTATTATAGCTATGCAGGGCATGCAAGCGAGCAACCACAAACAAGTGAAATGAAGAATACAATTGAAATTGTAATATTGTGGTGGTTCATCTTATAATTCAGTCTAGAGAATGCACCAGACAGCATGTAAGACCTGCAAAAATCTAAATGTTCTAGGGGGAGGCCCCCCAAACCCTTCGTGCGTCATTTCGTCCGTGCGCATTTTTTCACAGTGAGGCGCTATTTCCCAAGATCCTTAATTCTATGCACTGCGTTCTATCGTGTGATCTTAAATTAGTGAAGCTAGTAATGAACGGACTATCTCGACCAAGTATTCTGCTTATGTCAGATATTTGCGCACTGGTTATGTTTGCATTTCTGGTTGATCCATACATCCAGTATGTAGCTTTCGACTTGGCTGTGCACAAAGCTACATGTGTTTCTAATGTCGAGTCGTGTGATTGAACTTTTGGAGGAATATGCTAGAGTTCATAGTATTTGTGAATCCATTCTCTTTACAGAGTCTGGTGGTCATGAAAAGTGACAGAGCTGTTTTCTGACAGATGACCTTGTGCATATGTGATAGGATCCTGCACATGTCTAAATCGATCATAGGAAGGAAGCTCCAATAAATGAGAAATGTATAGTCTTTCATTATGGACAGAGTGAATATTAAGTGATCGTAGTTGCAGAAGGTGTCCAAATGCTTAACGTTTCGATGCTGATAAAGCCTGACTACAGCAGGTCTTCCACGTGTCGCCACTCAAGATCCATATTCAAATATATGATTCTAAATGGTTTTAACGAGGTTGGAGCGGTTCTATTGAACATATTTGCAGTGAGATCGTGATACTTGTCTTTCAAGCAGAACAACTGGCAAACTAACTTCTAGGAGATGTTACGGTTCGTCAGTAATGACGTGCAACGTCCTCCCAATGTCTGTAGTCCTATGTCAGCTGCTGTGGTATAATAATTGTAATGTACACTCGTCAGAGGTCTCTTAAGAAATTGCCACGTGGATTAGTCACTGTCTGATGGAATTTGGAATGTCTAGAACATAGTGATCCGTCTGTTATGTGTTTTTGCTCCTGGTCTATATGTTGTATCTTCTTGACCCTGTGGATTTTACCGTTCTGATCGTTGTAGTTTCGCTCTCTAGTGTGTTCTGAGATTTACTGGATGTGGTATTGATCACCTGTGCCATCCTTACTAGTCTCATGAGAATGTTTGTTTTGATTGGATTATTTTGTATTTTTGTCTGTTTGTCAATGATGAGTGCGTGAGGGTGTGTTATGTGGGGTCTATGCATGTATTGTTGATGTTTTTTTTTTTTTTTCGGTGGGTTTGTTGACCTTTTTTGAGCTGTTTGCTTGTGTTTCTTACTGGTATAGATGCGCTTGTTGGTGTTCTCTTTGTTTTCATCAGCAACTCTCGTTTGCTTGCTTCCTCCCCGGTATTGTTTCTCCACCTGGTGTCGGTTATTTTCAATGGTTAAAGTGCTCTCTGTCTTCTCTAGTAGTTCTCGTGTCTAGTATCGTTTTGTTTGCAAGGTATCTAGTGCTTTTTTGGTATAGCTGCATGGTTCAGATCTTGCTCTGTCTTTTTGCCACAGTTCAGATCTTTTATGGCGTCTCTTATATGTGCTTTGTGAAGG